CGTTGCCATGGCGGCGGGACGCGGCGCGGCCCGGGCGGACGGGACGCCGCATGGCGGGCGGCGGGGCGGAGGGCGAGCTGCGGGCCCTCTACCGCTGGCTGGATGCCGTGCCGCTCTCCCGGCCACGCAGGAACATCGCCCGAGACTTCAGCGACGGGGGTGGGATGAAAAGGCCCGAAAGGACGGGACTGGGGGTGGGGGACGGGCCTAGGGATGGGGCTAGGCCAGCGTGGCTGCCAGGCCTTGTGGGCCAGGGGTGGAGGTCCCGGTGTGCCCGCCGCCCCCAGCCCCTCTCCTCCTCTCCTCCCCAGTGCTGGCGGCGGAGGTGGTCAAGTTTTTCTTCCCTGCCATGGTGCAGCTGCACAGCTACGTGCCTGCCAGCTCAACGCCGCAGAAACTCGCCAACTGGGGCCATCTCAACAGGTACTGGGTCGGGTAGCACCCCTGCTCCCCCATACTGGGAGCACTGTGTTGCCCTGCAGAGTGTCCCCACTTGTCCTGGCTGGAGACCAGGACAGCTGGGACCTGGCTGAGGCTGCCTCCCTGCCTTCCTGGGTGCTCATTTGCCTACTCTTTTAGGAAAGTGCTGAGTAAGCTGAACTTCTCCGTCCCAGAAGACGTGATCCAGCAGGTTGTGCAGTGCCAACCAGGCATAGTGGAGCAGGTGCTGCTCCTGCTGCGACAGAAGATCGATGAGAAGCAGAAGCAGAACAAGGTGGTGCCTGGCCCATGCCAGGTCAGACGGGCTTGGGGGAAGGGGGACACTTGGTGTGCCACATCCTGGTTGTAGATACTGTGGCTAAGGGGCTGCAGGGCAGTGAGGGTGAGTAGCCACCCCACAGAGAGGTCAGTATAATCAGAGAAGGGCCAGGCTGTGCTCCAGGCGTCCTTGTGGGCATCACTATCCCCCTGAGCGCCTCTGTCTCCCCATCATGAGGATCCTGCTGCCGTCTCCTTGGGGTACTTGGTGGCAGAGAGCCCTCCACATGGGCAGAGGAGCACCACACTGGGAAGTAATGCAGGTGGCAGGGCTGGCCTTGCTCAGCAGCCACAGATGGCAGCCGTGTGCTGTTGTGGGAAGTGCTGTGGCCCTGCTTGATCCATAGTCTTGACTTGGCCCAGGCAGCCCGGGAGGAGACGCTGTGAGCCAGGGAAAAGAGGGGAAGTGGTCTCCACCACATTCCTTCCCTGCTGCCCATCAGCTGGCCCTCCTCACTGCTCCCTGCTCGTATGAGGCCCCTGACGAGGAGCAGGGAGGGTGTCTGGGGTTGCGTGGGGCTTGGCAGTGTGTGCTGAGCACACAGCTCCAGGACGGGGCTGGCAGCAGCAGCTGCCTCCTCTCCTGCAAGCCCCGAGCAAACCCTCAGCCCGTGGCTGTCCCGGTCCCCACCATGCGAGAGGATAATGAAGCTGTGGGGCTGGGGTATCTCTGCCTGTGGGTATCTCTGCCTGTGACTCTGGTGCTCAGGTCAGAGGAGGAATTTGCTACGGGAAGGGCTGTGGCTGTGAAGCAGGCAGGAATTCAGGCAGATGAATCCCAGCCTTGCCTTCAGGCTGTAACGCCCAAGCAGCCAGCACCAAAGCCACCTTGGGAGCCCTCTGCTTTGAATTGGCCTCTCCCACTGCTGTGGGAGCAAACCCCCCACCCTGGTGCTCCCCAGAGCCTCAAGCCCCAGCATTGATCAGAGAGTGGTGACATGAGCAGCCGGATAGGCTGGGGTACACTGTCCCCTTTTTTTCTGACACTGGATCCTGGCCAGGCCCCCTCCCTGCACAGGAGCTGTTTGTGGGCTCATCCACAAAGAGTCCCATGGCTCGTGGCCAGACATGATGGGGGTTTTCCTTCCTCTTTGTGCAGGAGCGGGGTGTACGGGCAGCGCTGGAAGAGGTCAGCTACCTGGAGACAGGTAGGGCCAGTGCGTGGCCCTCCATGAAGAAGGGTCCCATCCTGACTGTGCTATGGGCTCCCTGGGTCCAAACCCCAAACCATGACCTTTCTGGTCCCTGGAGAGGGGGGCATACACAGCCCTGTCTTGTGCTGGGGTGTCCAAATAATGAGCCAGCCCCGGGAGGATAGGAGACACTGCTGGAAGGGGGTGTTCCTGGGGGGGAACGGGTGGGGTGGGCAGAGCTGTTTGGACAGATTATGTGCTAACTGCTGTGTTTTGCAGGCTACTCAAAGGCAAAGAGCAGCGTAGGAGGAGGCTATGCCCAGGAGTCTCCCAGGGCTGCCGGGTAAGGACTGATGGTGCTGTGGAAGGACAATGAAGGCATGTCCTGGGTGCTGGTGACATGCCTCTCCTGGGGGCTTCTCGAGGAATGGGGCTCTCTGGGTCCTCACGGGGTTCAGGGGAGCCCTGTACAAGAGGGGCAGTGGTGTGTAGGACAGGACTTGGAGGAGCTGGGCATGTGCATGAGCCCCATGGCCTGTATGGCTCCGTGGGCTCTCAGCAGCACTGCAGCAGGGGTCAGTTATTGTCCTGGCATTTCCTTTCCTGGTCCAGGGTGACGAAGAGCCAACACGGCTGTGCCCAGGCTCCGCCAGGGGATGCCTCTGTCCACCTGCAGCTGGCAGAGAGGGAGCAGGCCCTGCTTCTGGCACAGGAGACCATCCAGGTGAGCCCACCTTGGCCAAGTGCTGTCCCCGTGGCAGCACCGAGGGACAGACTCCCTTTGCCTCCCCAACCGTCCTGCAATGGTGGTGCACATGACAGCCCAAAGAGGTGTTTGCTCCGTGCTGTCAACCTCCTGGGCTGCTCCCCTCCTGGGATGTTCCCAGCTCTGGTGACACCCTTGGGCATGGGCCAGCCTGGCAGTGGCTTTGCCATGGGCTAGCTGGCCAGCATCTGACTTGGGTGCTCCTCTGGCTGCTCCAGAGCAGTTGCTGGGCTCCTGAGTGCTGTGCTGGGCTTAAAGGACAAAGGTCTGGTCAAAGCAGGCTAGACAGGCAGCGATAGCTCAGCGTGGCTGGGAGACGTGGTTCAGTCCCCAGAGCGCTTGTCTTCTTGTGCAGCAGAAGGTGTTTTGCTGACATTTATCCGGTAAAAGCCCTTGTAAAGCCTCTGCCTGCAGATCTGCCCCTGGGGCGAACAGCTTTCTCTTTCAATCCTTCCCGCCTGGCCATGCCCTCAATCTCAGTGTCACACACCCACGTCAGTCACATCAATCACATCAATCCGGGATTCCCAAATGTTTCCTTTCTGGTCGGTCCTTCCAGCCCGCAGTAACGAGGGTGATGCAGAATGAGCGTCGCAGCTGCTTAGACCCTTGCATACAGCTTGCTGTCGCCCCTGGACCATCCCAGGGCTCTGGGCATCCCTTGTTTAACCTGAGGCAGTGGGGGATTTTTGAAACAGAGCTTCAGCCAGCACCAAGCCAGGACAATGGCTCTGTCTTGCCTAAAACTGGGGCTTTGCTGCTGGAAAACATCACCTAAGACACAAAATTTTGAAAGAGGGGAAGGAATGCTATGGGGTGTCTCGGATGTAAAGAGTTACCACCAGGTCCTGGTCCTGGTGGGGAGCTGGGACTCCAGAGCCATGTTTTGGGGGGAGTGTTTTCTTGATGCGGGTTGTGGGAACCGGAATAGGGACCCCAAATCTGGTACTGGTGCTCACCTGCCTCAGTTTCCCCTGTGGTTAAAGATGGCTGATGCAGCTCAGTGACTCCAGCAGCCACGTCAGCCTGGCCCCGAGTCTCCCCGTCCCTCCTGTGCTCCCCGTCCTTGCTGCTGGCCTATGTGGGGCTGATGGATGTGCCTCCTGCCCCCCTCCCCAAAACCAAACTGAAGGGGTATTGGGGTCTCTGCTCAGATCCTGCAGCTGAAGGTGGGGAGGCTGGAGCAGCTGCTGCACCTCAAGAACGTGCGGATAGACGACCTCAGCCGGCGCCTGCAGGAAGCCCAGTGCAAGCAGCGGTGAGCGGACCCTCGCCCACCCGGCAGGGGGCTGCCCCCCAACCCGTTTCACCTGCCCCACCGCTCACACCCGTGGGAGCTCCTCCTGAGCTGGAAGAGCCATCCTGCTGCCTCCCAGTTGCCCCGGTTCCCAGAGTGGAGACTCAAAGACAAAAGCCAGAGGTGGAAAAAGCAGATGCAGAAGCAGGGACCCTGTGCCCACCTCTGGGACCCCCCACCCCGTGCCCACTGGTGGGCAGCGCGGCAACAGCATCACTACGGCAGGGGCTCTGCTCAGCCCTCCAGCCAGCGCCTACCGACAGCAGCGGTTCTTCGTTGCCCATTAGTAATTAAAAAGCCGGGTTATGGCTTGGAGACCTCCCTGCAAGGCTGAGTCGCTGTGGGGGTCCCGCCTGCCCCAGCCTGGGGGTCTTTACTTCCCAGCTGGTCCAGCGTCGGAGGGCGGTGGGCAGCGTGGGGACGCCGCTCGGCTGCCGGGGCCGGGGAGGCGTGCGCTGGCGGAGGCTGGGATTTAATCCCTTACTCAAAGCTGTTTGTTTTTGTAATCTCCAAGAAAATCCGTGCCTCGGCACACAGGGCAGCTCACGGTGCGGCTGGGCAGCAGCCCCGGCTCTCAGCCTGGCACTGCCACCCACCAAGCCTGTGGGCAGCCCAGCCACGGGGTGGGGGTACCCAGAGATACCCCCTGCTCCTCCACTCATCTCCCCCGGGGACGTCCCCCAGTGGTGGAGAGATGCTCGAGGGTGGCTCTGGGCATGACTGTCACTGTACCGGGGTCACCTGCGGCCTTTTTAGGGTAAAAAATGATTGTTTTCTTCCAGCGTGTGGGTGTGTTGTTTGTCTCCGCGGAGGGGGGAGCCGGAGCGTGTCCCTCCCCTGGGGGCTGAGCCATGTGTGGTGTCACGCGTGCCGGCGGCGAGGACACAGCAGCTCCCTGGGAATGAAGCCCCACTCTTTTAAGTGCTCTGGCATATGGAGTCTGCGGCCGAATCCGGGGCTGCCGGGGGGCCGTGAGATGAGCCGGGGGGCCGTGGGATGAGCCAAGGGGTGGGTCATCTTAGCCCCTGGGGTGTTCTGTGTCCCCTGTCCCCGTGTCCCTGCCGGCACTGCCTGCTCACCGGAGCTGAGCAAGCCCTGACCCTGCTCCCCCATGGGGGGCAGCTTTTGCCCCACATAGTGGGGGGCTGCTGCCTCCCCCCGTAGCGTTCCCAGGCGGGTGGACGTGCTCTTTGGAAGGGAACCGGCAGCATTTTCCTGGCAGGGACGCGTCCCAGCTGCCTTTCCCACCCTCAACGCCCCTGACAGCCGGCTCCCTCCATCCTTGTCCAGTGCGTGACCGTCCCCTTGGGGAGACATGGCCCATTCCCCGTGCTCCATCCCACCCGTGAAGGGACACGCGGGCTCCAATGGGGACAGACAGAGCCTGGGAGCTCAGCTGGGCCAGGCTGTCCAGAGCCTCAGGGTTGTCTCGACAGGATGAGATGGGGTGGGATGGGGTGGGATGGGATGGGACAAGCCAGCCCTGTCCAGCCGCCGCGCCGGGGCCCCCAGCTCGGGCCGGGCTCGCAGATTCAGGTCTGAGCCGCCAAAAATTGTCAGGGAAATGACATGTTGCCATGGCAACCGCATCGCCCGGGAACGGAGGGGGGACCGGGCGAGTGCTCCCCCCGCCCCGCTCCTCTGCTCGGCGCAGCGCCCACCACCGCCCCATGTGGAGCCCCGCTGCTGTGCGCGCCCGCCTCCTATTGGCTGCCCCAGCCTTTAGCCACGCCCCTTAGCGACAGTCCCGTCCCCTGGAGACGACCCTGCCCTGCGGGGCGGCTGGGGAAGCGCCGCCTGAGCCGCAGCCGATGGGCGTGGCGGGGAGGCGTGACGGCCGGTGGGGGGAAGACCAATAGGAACGGCGGGGGGGTGTGGCAGGGCCAATGGCAGGTAGGGGGCGTGTCCCGGTAGTGGGAAGCGGGGCGCGCGGCGGCGTCCGGGACGCAGCGACTGGGGTGAGTGAGGGGAGGGAGGGA